GGGGGGACACGAGACGACACCTCCCATGTGACACCCGGCGGGGGCTTCATTCATCCCAGGGCTCCTTGTCGGTGTCAATGGACATGCAGTTGTACACGGCGTACCGCAGCAGCTCCTCACAGGCCTTGGCCCTGGGTGGGGGACAATGCTGGGTCAAGGTCGTAATGGGCATTGAGAGCCCCATCCCTCTCCACGCCACCCAAATGTCCCGTGGGGCAGGACCAGGGGAGCCCAGGGGAGGGAACCCCAATGCCAGTCCCAGGGAGTGGGGACTATCCCCATCCCCTGTCCCCAAGATTGACTCACGAGGAATAGTTGGGCAAGAAGAAGGTGCTGGAGCACGTGGAGGCCTGTGGCATCAGATCCAATGCGTCCAAGCTTGGGAGAAAGGAGAGTCAGAGCTAGGGACCTTGGCACGATGCAGGGACCCCAGCCCAGGCAGGATGGACTCACTTTGCCCTTTCTGGGTAGACAGTGATCTGAACTGGGAGGCGGCTCCGACCAGTGACAAACTTGAGGAAGCGGCTGAGATCCTCTGTGGGGAAAGACAGTGGTCAGGTCTCAGGGACAGGGACAGGACCATCCCAGTTGCTGCTGTCATGGCAGGGTCTGCCCTTGCAGAAGCATCCCGTGAGCACGGGGCAAAGCTAAGGGATGCTCTCGGAATCCCGGGAAGGACCAGACAGGACAACCCCAGCTGATACCTAGGGAAGTTCCTGGCGAGTAATCCTGGGGTGCAGGGCAGTGGGTACCCCGTCCCCCAGCCCACCCCGCTGCATGTGAAGATCAGGGAAAGGCTCGGGGTCGCTCACCGCTGGTGAAGTTGCTGAGTGCCTCCCAGAAGATCTGGATCCGGCTGTCGTTGGAGGGAAAGTCCTCAAATGTGACTGTGGCAAAGAATACGCAACAGCTTCATTAGAAACGCCCAGCAAAGCAAATTAACATGGGACACATCCATCCCACCCTTCTGTGAGAGCCCAGAGTGGAGGCAGGAGGGGAGGCGACTCTGCCCTTGGGTAGCCCCTGCCAGCCCCCAGCACCTCCAGAGGGGCCAGCACCCTGCGCTAAGGTGTGTGGAGAAATGGGGGTCCCGCTTCGCAGGGTGGCTGTTTGGCTCCACCCGAGGGACCAGAGTGGGGAGAGGTGGGGTTTGCAGCTAAGCCTGAAGCTAAACCAGGGTCCCTCTGGCTCGTCCTCCCTCAGGCTCCCAGGCTTGGCCCCACCACGGACTCACCATGGGGCAGGATGCGTGTGCAGGACAAGCATTGTCTAGGGGCAGGGGCTGCCTATGCTGGGGGCTGGGAGCAGCTTCAGGCTGGCCCTGGCACTTACTGAACTTCTGCAGTTCTGCTACCGTGATCTCGGGGTCCCCGCAGATCTTCTTCTCCAGCTGCTGCCAGGTGAGCAGGTCCAGCACAGGCTGGGGCACCACGCGGAGCAGCCCAGCACGCATGGCCGCGATCTGGAGGGGGCACAGGAGGGGTCTCATGTCACTGTGATGGGTCTGAGCCCAGGGCAGCCAGCCAGGGCACTGGGGCCAGGGACCGCAGGACCCCAAAGTGGGTTCCTGGGGCTCATGGACATCCTCGGCATGGGATGCACAGAGGAACTGCCCATCTGGAGCTAATTTTGGGGACACGTTTTTGCAGCCACCAACCCCACAGTTGCCAGGAAGGCTTGCCACAGGAGCAGGGTCCCTTTGCAGCCATGCCAGCCCTGGGGGATGGCACTACCTGCTCCTTGCTCTCCTCCATCCGAGCCTTCTGCACCAGACAGATGAACTCTTTGCGGTCCTCGTAGCGCACCACGATGCTGCTGCCATTGGGGATCAGCTCCACCACACGCTGGTCACTCAGCATTGTCGTGTAGGTCAGCTCCCTGCCAAACATGAACTCAAAGGCTTCCCTGTCCACCCCCTCCAGCACCTCCAGCAGCTTCACCTGCAACCCCAATGGGTGAAAGCCATCATGGTGGAGCCAGAGCAGCTACAGGAGCACACAGCACAACCCTGTTGGTTGGCTCCACATCCTGGTTTGAGGACATTTGTTTCAGTGGCCAGTCCAGCCCAAACCACAGCACCCCGCTCACCAGCTCTGAGTCCACAGCGGCGAAGTCCTTGCTCCAGCTGACCTCCTCCCCGGCCAGCTGCTTCCACACCAGCGCCGGCAGAGACAGGATCTGCCGGAGGGAGTGGAGATGTGCGTTCATCCCGTGTCCCTCCTTCACCTGAGGGCAGCCCCTCTCCCCAAGATGTGCGACCCCCACCAAGACCCCTTGCCAGCCCCCCTTGCCAGGGAGGCTCTGCCGTGCTCACCAGAAACTCCTTGCTCCTCAGGGCTGCTCCCATCAGCTGCCCGATCCACTCGTACTTGGGGAAGTCCTTGCAGGAGGGGTTGGGGACATACATGTCCCTGGTGTTGCTGCTGCTGTTACTCTGTGGGAGAGACACTTAGGACCCACGGACAAAGCTGTGACCAGCCCGGTGCGGCCCTTCCTGCAGTCTCCCTCTCCATCACCCTTCCACCTGCCTCTCCTGCCCTTTACATCTCTCCAGAAGATCTCCACCCCCTGGGTACAAGCACAGCCTACCCAACAAATAACGCTGCAAGCGTTAAGACCCCAAAAATGCCCCAGACTCTGTTAGATGCCCTGCCAGGGCCAGGACAGGCAGACAGCAGGGTGCCAAACCTGGTTGGAGGTGCGCACGAAAAAGGGCAGGGGCACGGGGACATCGCCTGAGCTGGGACACAACTCCTCTGACACGTCTGACAGGCTGTCCCGAAAACCACCACCTGCAATGAGGGCAGAGCTTGGTTAATGCCTGACATGCCCCGGGCTAGATGCTGAGCTGCAGGATCTAGCTAAGCCACCCTCTCTCCATAGGGCAGCACTGGGGGCCTAGGGGAGATGCAGGGACCACCCCACATGTGCAGAGCTGCCCCCCCAACACAAGAAATCCCAGGGAAGAGCCCCAGGGAGGGAGGGGAGAGCTCTCACCATTGTCAATGATGCCCTCAGTGATGAAGTCGCACTCCCACCACTGGCTGTAGCTCAGGGGCCACCTGCACGGAAGCAACAGCCCCATGTACATCCCTTCTCCGAGAGAGCCAGCAGCACCGAGCACCCCTCTACACCCCACTCCAGGGATGTGGCACCCCACAAATGCGACATGAAGACCTACCTGTAGTCCAGGGGCTGGTTGCTCTTGGAAGACCTGAGGCTTTCATACAGCTAGAGAGGAGCAGAGTGGAAAGGGGATGAGAGGCAGCAGGGGCAAGCAGTGCTGAGCTGGCACAGGGCATGGCGTGGCCGTACCTGGGTGAAGACAGCGTTCCTGCAGCTGGGGTCCAGCGCAGGGTTGGCACGGTGCTCCCGGGCCAGGTGCCGGTTGAGGTACAGCTTTGGTGGGGTCTGAGGGGGGGTGCTCTCCGAGGACTGGAGACAGTGGGTGATGAGAGCTGTGCTCTGCTTGGACAGCAGCAGGAACGGCCTCATGCTCTAGCAAGGGACCAGCAGAGATGGTTAGAGGCTTCATCCTGCCACCATGTGCCTAGTTTCCCCTTCTCCAAGGTGTCCCTGCCCATGGCAGGGGGGTTGGAACTTGATGATCTCTAAGGTCCCTTCCAACTCTAACCATTCTGTGATTCTATGATTAGCACAGCTCCTGGTGTCGCAGGGGATGCTCAGTTTCTCCATCCCTTTGGCAATGCCCAGCAGAGCAGCTCTCAGCATGAGCCCTGGGCTAGTCTGTCCCCACCGGATCAAGGGGGAAACCAGCGAATCCCATGATGAGATGCTGCTACCAGCACCGTCCCAGGGGAGCCCAGCAAACACTCACCCTGAGTGCATTGAAGGTCCCGATGCTGTCCTCGGGGAGGGGGATCAGATAATGCAGGACACTGTCCAGGAGCTGGACGAACCTGGAGACCAGAGAGGCGCAGCATGATGATGTGAGAGTGGTGGACATGTAGAACCTGATACACCTGCAGCGTTTCACTGCAGACAGCCCCAGGCATGCGCTGAGCCTGGGCACTGTGCTCCCTGCACGTGGGTCTCCCTCAGCCCATGGAGGAACACCAGCACACTAAGGGGAGAGCCCAACCGGCACCCTCTGGCCAAGTGCTTTATTTTGTTTCCTCCAAGAAAAAGCTGCAAAGGAGAGTGGCCCAGCCCACGCCACAGCACTGCGGCTGGATCACTGCAGAGGGTCTCTCTGTGGGGCTAGTGCTGACCCCAGCCTGGGGCTGCCCTGCAGGCAGTGGCGTGGGGGGCTCCACATTGGAGGTGTCCCTTGCCCCGTGCCAGCACTGTGCTCCTCAGGCACTGGGAG